CCTCAGTACATTGGTTATCAATGGCAGTTGGCTCCTGCTAAACTGTAAGCACCTCGAGGGCAATGTCTCTTCTGTGTTTGTCTAAAGACTCTGGTTTCCAGCTCATAGGAAGACAAAAAATACCCGTTGAAGAGTGGACTCTAAATAGAGGAGTCCCACCTGTGAACAAATACAGTGGAATCACGGCTGTAGAATGCATGTAGTTTCACGACAGTGGCCGAAGGCAGATCCCTCTGTTGTCTGTAAATCTCTCAAGCCCAAGTTTGTATTAGTAAACAAGTCATGTGGCTCTTCTTTATAGTGTGGGCTGACTGTTTCAGGGACAGCCCAGTGCTGGCTAGCTTCCTTAGTAGTTTGTGAAAATAAAACCTAATGAAACGATCTCCCTTTTTCCCCATGTTGGCACTGGCCCCAGTTTTCTTTTCCCAGAGTATTTTTTCTGGTTGGGCAACATGCCACATGCTATAGCTGTCAGGCATCAGTGTACTCTGAAGCCATCAGAGGTCAGTCTGGAATTCCAAACAGAAGCCCAGACCTGAGTTCTGTGAACCGGAGTAAGATGACCGAGACATATCCTACTTGCCACCCTTCTGTCTCTCGGTGTTCCTTGCTTCCCTGTGGCGAGTGTATTTCAGACACTCGAGCTGTCCTACTTCCATACCCAAATCAGGGAATAATGAATTGGAGACAGAAAAGTAATTCAGGACAGTACTTGAGCTTTCCGTACACATGCTCGACTCTTGTTTGAGTCAAAGCCACGGAGGCATCCTGGATACCAAAGAGCAAGGGATTGTATTAATAGCAAAATGCTACATTCAATCAGTCAATTAAAAACAAAGCAAAACAACCTCCATCTGCTTCTTCAGATTACCTATTAATTTCAGATGAAAAAGCCCCAGGCAGTGAGAAAAAAAATTGACCCATGTACTAAGAAGATTGGATAGCTAATTCAGAGTAGAAATGGCTAGGTAATGTTCAGTTGTCATGGTAGAAAGTAAGTCCTGGACAGTCTGCTTCCACAGTACTATCTAAACTTGTAAAAATACCCAGAGAGGCAGAAAGGAGGACTAAATTTAGACCTGTATTTAATGCATTCAAGAGCATGATTCATTTCTCTCCTGCCTCGGTACAGCCTGAGAAATCTGAATATATAGCAGGATGCCCTGTAAGTAAGAAGAAGTCTCACCCAGCAAGAGGCTAAAGAATGTCAGAGATATCCTGTCTCTTCTGCTAATAAAGGTGAACTTCCAAGCGATCTACTCACAAAACTAGATTTCTGAGCTGATGAAAAGTCATCCATTTTAAATTTTGTTCTAGTCTTGGTGCTGACATTGCTGGGAATTTATTGATTCTGTTGTTTTTCTGCTCTTTTAGTGGGTTTTCCACCCAAGTACCTCTGGGGTCCTAGCTAGCCCTCAGAAGATATGCAGCATAGGTCGCCCTAATGAGATTTCCCAGAAGAATGTTGTAATTGATATTGGTGTATTTAATATAATGTAATGAAATAACTATTTTGTGGCACTGGGTATTGAACCCAGAGTTTCCTGTGTGTAAAGCAAAACTCTACCACTGAGCTACAGCCACAGGCCAATATTGATATAACACCCAGACTCTATTCACTGTGGTAGCCTTTAGCTGGGGCTTAGCAAAGTAGTATGTAGCATGAGTACTCAATGCCAATGACAGGTTATCTGAAAAAAAAATCAGGCCAAGTATCATATGTAGCATGGCTATTCAAAGTCAATTACAGGTTATCTGAAAACAAAGGAAAACAAAACAAAACAAAAAACAAGCAAATCAAACCCCAACTATCAACTGACCAACTAACCAGCCAACAACAGCAAATTCAGTTCCCAGGAATCAGATCAGCATGAGGATCAGCCTCCAGGGTAAACATGGTTATGGTCCCTTCTTCCTTTTCATCTTCTACTTCCAATGACATTCTTGCAGCCCTCTGCTTTCAAATCTGAAGCAAAAACTATCCTCTCAGATAATTTGTACTAAGGCTGCTCTAACTGTTCTGTTAGTCCAAAATGGCATAGAAAGAAAATGTAACTGTTATTTTGTGATTTTTTTTTTTTAAAAAATATCATTCCACAGGTTTTTTTTTCTGTTTTTGTTTTTTAAACTTTTTAGTTTTTAAGCACATTTGGAAAGTAACCTTACAAGTCTCATCCTGCTGTCTTTGGCTATATAGGTAATTTCTGTCTAAATAACAGGAAAATAGATGAACTAAAAACAAACAAACAAAAAGTTACAGTTACAGTACACTGCCTCCCAGAAGTGAGGGCATTATAGCTGTCCTCCATTCTGAGGTCTGCTGTTGGTGTGAGTAACCCACTCTGAGGGTCCCATTGCATATTCACATCGATCAGTCCCAGTTAAGAAAGTGATAATTTCCCCCAACATGAAATGAGTCCAGCCACTTAAGTCAAAACAACCAGAGTTAGATATGGAGCACGTGCATCAAGTTAGAAATGAGTCATCTGAGGTGTGTGTGAATGAACAGAGCTGGGAAGGGCTACACGGGGCACATCCATAGCATGGGCTTGGTAGACCCTGGGCAGGGAGGGCCTCAGGTCCGGGTGCATATGAGATCCAGTCAGCCTGAAGACATGCGCCACACACCAACCTGGACACGGCACAGAGAAAAGGCCACACACTGTAGGGCAGCATCAATGATTTGTACCTTTCTCAAACAGTTTGGTTACTGGTTCTTCTGGGCAATTCTGAAGAGCCCGGTGGGAACTGGCATCCAATCCTCATGGGGACCCATCCTGTGCCACAGTACGGGCACTGAGTCATTAATAGGACAGTCATATCCAGTGACCTTGGCTGAATATTATTTGAGATTTGGAGACAACCCATCTAAATCCATTTGAGAAAGGACGAATACTCTAGCACTCTACACAGAAAACTGGCTGATTTAGCTTAGAACAGAGTCTGCCATTGCAGCCAACTTCAGAACATCACAGAGGAAGAGGGCAGGGTCTCAAGAAGGTCATATCCTGTAAGGCGAAGTCAGGTATATTTTGGGATTTGGGGATTGAGATTTATCCTCACACACATAGAGTACCACAGATCTAATTCACAGAATGGGGGAATTTGTCCATATTCATACTCCAGTCACACAAAACACCTTTAGTCTGTCTTGGGGGGGGAGGTGGGATGGGGAGATTTTGAGTTCTAAACTATAATCAGCCCTTCTTTTAAAACAGCGAATACTAAATCCTCGTGTTCAGCAGATGGTGGTGCTTGTTGCACTAGGCTAGGCTCCTAGTACAACGTCAATAAATGGCCACTTGTAGAGGGACAGACAGAATCCCATTTGTAAAATACATCCATACCGCCCCTTTCTTTCTCTCTTCCTTTATTCCCCCCCCCCTTTCTCCCTCACTACATTGTCCAAATGCCCATAGGGTCTCCATCTCATTCTATGGGAGAAAGGGACAACTTGAAAAGGCAAAATAATGTAATAAAGTGGAAAAGCAATTTCCAGGGGTGAGATGGAATAGCATGCTTAGTCTCTGAGGAAAATCATCATAGCGAGCTTTTTAACTGTCATTTTGCCTGAGGGACCATTTGAAAGGATGCTCTCTACAGGAAATTCCCATCCCTGGGAAACTGCCTTCTGAAGGCTGCACATTGTCACCAAAGATATCATAACCAGAGGATGGAGCTAAAATTCTTCCTCCATGAGCTGGCTAAGTCTCATGGAACAAATATTTGTTCCAATTAGGTGTTCCAAAAGCCTTGCTTGCCCCAGATAATATGTTTTCAGAGAGAAAGTGTATTTGTTCAAAATTCATCATGTAGGGGAAAATGACATGTTGCTATGTTTTGTTGCCAGGATACACAACGCTCTTTATAGGCCTGAGGACTCCAAAGCTCAGGTGTCCTTTGTCCATGTGTTCCTAGGCCCCATTCTATCTGAGATGAGGCGGGAGAGTGGGGTGCTGACTAGAGTCTGCTCCCACTCTGAATAAGCTATGTGGTTATGTGACCCTAATCTGTGTTCACAGTCCAGGGCTCGGATGGCTGGCCTGTCAGCAAAAAAAAAATGTCTGAAAAATGTTAATTTAACAGTGTTGGAGGGTTGTTATTTCCAGATCTGAACTCCTCAGGGAAAATGAGAAAGAGCAGCTCCTGGGATTCAACTCCACACTGAAATGTGCTTCTCGGATGCTTTTCTTCCCAAGTCACTTCCTGATGCCTAGTGTGCCCTGACATTTGGTCCAAATAAAACCCTGGAACAGACTCTTAGACTACAACTATCCTCCAGCTCCACACATAAGGAGTTGTTTGTTGCTGAGACTGCATCTAGTTGTCTGAAGGTAGTAGGGGCTGCTGGCTCTTGGTCCACACTAAGTCACTTTATGATACAGATACCCTCCTCCAATCCCTGGCATTTGCAGCAAATAACTCAGTCTACAACCTACGGGCATTTTCCATATTTCTTGGTAATGAATTCTGGCTTCATCTGTGTCTCAATAGCACATAACTTAAGACAATGAGGAAGGCTGTTGGGGAATAGTTTTTAGCATGAGGAAAATACCATACAGATGTTTGCCCTTAATCTTGAATTCTAATGACGAAATTGAGAATTGTTTATTTGTTCTAAAGTCAAACCCAAGGAATTTATTTTCTAAAGCCTAGCAAGATGAGGGATAGGGTAGGAGTGGGTAGTTGTGACACAATATATTCTCAGTAATAAAATATGAAAAACATGGCTTTAAGAATTTGAGTTACATGCAAGGTTATATCATTTAAAATGGTTCTTTTTTTTGTATCAAATTTGGTATAGTAGATATTCATTTTTGTCATAGGAAGGACATACCTGAAGATACACTGAAGGGCTATTTAGCTAAAATAGTATATTCACCTGCAGTGATTGTCTCCACCAAGATAGCAAACTAGGAATCGGTCCTCTATCTTGAGCCATTTATTGAGGACAAACAAATGGACTTGGGAAAGACGTGACTCAATTGAAGTTAAAATACCTGACTTTGGTGTATGAGAATCATAAACTTGCTTACGGTCTATCTGGTCAGCAAACACTTCCCCATAAATCATCCAATAAGGCATGTAGAAGATATTCTTGGCCAGTTTCCAAGATGGCTCCTCATTGGGAAAGAGAATGGCTTGCCTGGCGACCCCAAAGCTCATCAGCACCACCAGCATAATGATGACAAAGTACATCATGTCTATCATCTGGAAGGGTGGAAAAGAAGAAACAGAAGAAAAGATGTGTGATTGAGCATGGTGCCTAAGTAGGGCGTTGTACCTGGTTGGGAGGAAAGATGGATGGTTGAAGCTGATGTCTACATACTGAATACTGATGTCAGTTGCTATTTTTTTTTTTGAACAAGTGCATGCACTATGGAGCACCTTCATTTTTATGAACGTTTATAGAACATATTTCTATCTAGGTCCAGGAGTGCTATTCCTCAGAATTTGCGTTCTCCACATGGTACTAGCACCATTTTTAAAAGCTGTTCTGAGGAAGGCAAGTCTCTTGTTTTGGTTTCTTTCTTCTTAGGAAAAAAAAAATTAGAATCGGGATAGTTGGACTATTTTAAGAACTAGTGCAGAGCGGTATATTCCTGCTCTTAGTTCTGAAATGCTAAGGCAGCACTGGAAAGCTCTAGAAAATTATGTATTACAAATAGACCTAGGAGCCCATCCGATTGCTTGATTTCCTGCCACAGGCCTGGCTCTAACAGAATCATCTACTTCTTCTTATATTTCTCTGGCAGGGTATCTTATTATAAAGGGTATTTTCACAGGTCTTAAAAACATGAGGCTTCAGGAGATAGACCAGTGCCTGTTGTTGATGAGATGGATTTTTTCCTTGATGTGCTCCTAAACTGCTTGTGACTGAATCCCTTCATAATGTTTCTCCCTTCACCCTGCCCCCACTTTCCTTATCCATGACTGTGCTTGTTTCAATGCTATGGTATTAGAGATCTGTTTTGTTCACCCGCTAAATCCCTTTCTTATCTGCACTGAAATCTGATAAGTTTGCAATAAGTGGTGATTCCGACTGGCTCCAAACCCACTCTTTTCTCTCTTTCTTTCTTTCTTTCTTTCTTTCTTTCTTTCTTTCTTTCTTTCTTTCTTTCTTTCTTCCTTTCTCTCTCTCTCTCTCTCTCTCTCTCTCTCTCTCTCTCTCTCTTTCTTTCTTTTTTTTTTTTTTGGTTTTTCGAGACAGGGTTTCTCTGTGTAGCCCTGGCTGTCCTGGAACTCACTCGGTAGACCAGGCTGGCCTTGAACTCTCGATCTCAGAAATCCGCCTGCCTCTGCCTCCCAAGTGCTGGGATTAAAGGCGTGTGCCACCACTGCCCGGCAATTTCTGTTTCTTTCTTTAAGAGACAGTTCTCACTCATCTGCCTACAAAGGTGGGTATGTTGTCTATGCTAAGCTAGTGGTGGGACCTCATCTCATGGTACCATGGTGAGGTGGGCATGTGATACAAGACTGAGTCACCAGTCTGGTGGTTTTTTTGTTGTTTTTTGTTTTTTGTTTTTTGTTTTTTTTTTTTGAGACAGGATCTCTGCATGAGTCCAAGGAATCTTAGAACTCACTATGTAGGTGAGGCTTGCCGCAAACTTTGTGATCCTCCTGCTTCAGCCTCCAGTGTGCTGAGATTATAACCTGTTTTACCATTTCTTTAAAATGGAAGCAGAGAGAGAAATTCCCTTTTGTTCCTTGTAATGTTCATTCTTTGTAATAATTTAGCATGTCAGAGGCTGAGTTCTCCCACCAGTGAATGAGGCCGATACATAAGAGAAGGAGAGCGACTCCTGTCTGGCAGTGATTGAACTCCTATCTCGAGGTGATCTTTATGGCTAGTTCCACCTTGTCCTATTATAAATCAGAATATTCTCCCACCCCAGTGCTTCAACTACAGAGATTGATTTTCACTCCTTGCATCGAAAGGTCTGACACTAAAGACTTCCTCCTCTTGGATATTATAGGATAAGGGTGCCTACCCACAGATAATGATACATGCTAATTATCAGTGACAAGGAAGGTTCCAAAATGTCTTATTGGTTATTGTTACTCTTGTCCTGGAGACTGAACCAAGGGCCTAGTGTACACTAGCTACCCACTCCACTATGGACCTATTCTCGTCTCTAGCTTAAAAGAGAATATTCCATGACATGTGTTCCAGTAACCTAAACATTATGGGTACTTTAGGACACAGGGGCCTCAATTCATACATTTTCAATACAACTTCACAACTTGCATGACCTTGAAGTGAGACAGAAATTTCTCCAAGATTCCTACTTTTCATGTTCATCCTCACTGGTAAATGTAAGTTGTTTCTGCCTCCATTGAGTGGTTGCAGGTCTCTAAGGGGGTGACATGACTGAGTTGAAACAGGTTTATAGGAAACCCAAGTCTGGTTTCACCTTCTTTCTTCTTTTTACTTTACAAAATGTGTTGATCACTTATTTACAGAAAGTTGTATCAATGGAAAAGCACAGATGGGTCTTCATGTTGGGTTTGTTTCTATTGATTAAAAAGGTGGATAGCATACAACTAGGTATACTCACAAGACTGTTGACCCAAGAAAACTCAGCCAGGAAATACAGAAATTGTACCAATTTAATTTTTTGGAATTTTTTTCAAAAAAAAAAAAACCAAAAAACAAAAAACCTGATTGATCCTAGTACCTATCCACAAGGCCAAAACAGTAAAAGGAAAAACATTCTTTCAAAACACTGAGCTCTCTCTGTTTTAAAATCTTCTCTCTCTTAAAGGTATCAGGATCTGAACACTATCAATAGAAGACAAACAGACTTCTTTAGTTTTCGAAGTTAAATTATCCGGGGAGTTCAATGTTAAGATTTGGTCCCAGTCTTAGGAATACCTTTCAGAATGCTCTACAGAGAACATCCTCAGCAGTGATGAAGCACATGCTCTTAGGTGCCAGACAACCTGGATTTTGATCTTGACTGTAGGCAAAAATAGCTACACGGAAAAAAAAATCCACCAAAAAAAAAAAAGTTTTTCCTGACCATTAAAAAAAAAAAGAGAGAGAAAGTTAGCTTAGTGGCTTGGGGCAAGTTGCTTAATCTTGTTTTTAAATGTTTTAAGTGGGATAACAATCACGACATTACCTTTGACTAAGTGCGATAGCTATGCTGTACGCTCTTGTAAATGCTAGCGTGTTGTTTTTGGAAGGTCAGGATTTAGTCAGGAGTTTGAACCTTGTCTCCGTCTCTCTCACAGCCTGTTTATTTAATTGGTATATGAGGATTCTAAGATCTATTCCATGGGGTATAACAATGAGGCCCGAGATGTGTCCCACGTGGTGCCTGGCACAGTTACACATAGCTCCTGCTGTGGTTTCTACTCTGTATTATAAAAGTGAGTTAGTACAAGGTTTGCGGAGTTCCCTTGAGAAATGAAATATGAAGGAACAGAGTCAGGATTTCAAGCGATCCTGGACTCAGCAGATCAACAGGACTCCCAGAGGAGAAACGGGCATTCTGTACCGTCAGGCATTTGATGTTCTAGTTCCTTCCACAGGACAAACAGAGAAAACCATTTCAGAATGAGCACCTGCCCATCCTGTGTCTGGTCTCCAGACATCAAGGCACATTGGGCTACCTGGATGCAGATTACTAAAGAGGGGCCTGTTAAGTTGAGGCCTTTGCAGTCTGCCTGGCTCACTGATAAACTCTAGAGGCGTCTTTTATCTACCTTCTGGGTCGATGACTCAATTATTGAACTAATTATCTTAAAAGCATGCTGTAAGAACTTAAAGCCCCCAAATTTCCTAATTTCCTCCTTATGACTAATAAATGAAGTCATTCATAAGTTAAAAAGCAGAGATGGATGCATGCATCACAGCCGCCTGCTCATTCCTTACTAAGGTTTCACTCTACTCAAAACCAGGGTAATTATGCCATTATTCAAATGATAGACATGGAAATTAAGATAATCTCACTGCATTAATGTAACTTTAGGTATTTCAGAGAGTTAAATGCCACCAAGACTTTCAAAAATGATTGATTTGGTTTAGATCTTTGAATAGTTTATCTGTTAAAATAAGGTAAGCATAAAAAAGTTAATAATCCCCTGATATAGTGGTTCTTTACAGAGGCCAGTTTTGTGCTTCGGGGACATCACATATGGTAATGTTTGGAGCCATCTTTGTTGTTCTAGCACTCTGTCTCTCTGTCTCTGTCTCTGTCTCTGTCTCTCTCTCTCTCTCTCTCACACACACACACACACACACACACACATACACACACAACTAAACATCTTGCAATATATAGGATGGGGACTCTGCAGCAAAGATCCACATGGTCCCAACTAGGCAACTAGGTGTAGTGTCAAGCTTGTAGTCCTAGCGCTTAGGAGGCAAAGGCAGGAGGGTTGTGAGATTGGGTCACATAGTGAGACACTCCTTTAAAAAAATGAAAAAGAATATCAAAGTGGAGGAAAATTGGCCTGATTTTCCAGCTGTTACAGTTTAATAATTTTTTCTCATTTTATGTGGAAAAATACTTAATCTCATAAAGGTCTGGTCTCTCCAGAAACCTCATATAAACATGTTCCTATATAAGTTGAGAGCAGGAATCTATAGATCCCTCCCTTTAAGCCCGTTCCACAGTCTGCCTTTAGACATAAGAATTTTCACCCAGATCTCAAATCCATTATTAAATAAAGACATAAGAGTAGAATAAACAAATGATGTTCACCCCACTCCCTTCTCAAACAGTATCAAGTTGAACTGGGTTCAGTTTGGGCAACTTAGGCTCCAGCATTCAACCTTTTCTTCTCTACAATGTGTCTGGTGTCATTTACCCTAATCAGTGTTGGTGTGGTAATTCCAAGTTTGTGTCCAAAGCAGCTGGTTATATAGAACAATAGTGTTTATAAACTTTTCTTTCTCCATTGTCCTTTAAAAAACAATATAAACATAACAAAGACGGACATAATTTACCAACCAGCCAACTAAGAGCCAGCTATTGTTCAGCATGTGCCATTCCTAATCGCCACAGCTCTACAAAGTACATTTATTGTTCATTGTTGCCTTAGAAGGCTGTGAACTGAATATCAAAGAGTAAAGGAAGTTTATTTTGAATTTAAAATTTTCCTCTCTTTGTCTATATTTGCTGGTGCTTTTTTTTTTAAATAGGAAGATTTTTGGTGACTTCAGATGCATTTCAGTAAACGTCATATGCAGATGTTTAATAAATACTGCATTAACAATGACGCCTAGAGTAAATCTTAAGTGACAACAAACAGGGGCATCTATAATGCTGCTTGATTGTTTCAGCAGCAAGTAGGATTGCAGGGGAGATGATAAGAAAGAGACTAACGATAGGGGTATGCTTGGCTTTCCACATGTCAGGAGATGTACTTAGAGAAGTGGGCGTCAGGCTTGGGTGATAGCCCTAGAGTTTCTGGGGAAGGAGCTCATGAACTCAGCTCATCACTCCACCCTGCCACCAGCTTCACTTATGGAAAATTCTGGAAGCTGAATATAGTCTAAAATGTTGAAGCCCTCAGCCATTTGTATGGCTTGTCCCTTGAGATTCTTTCCCTCCTTCCCTCCTTCCCTCCTTCCCTCCTTCCCTCCTTCCCTCCTTCCTTCCTTTCTTTCTTCCTTTCTTTCTTTCTTTCTTTCTTTCTTTCTTTCCTTCTTTCGTATATGGGTATTTTTTTCTACATGTAAGTATGCACACCAGAAGAGGGCATTAGATCTCATAATATTACAGTTATAGACGGTTGTGAGCCACAATGTGGGTACTGGGAATTTAACACAGGTCTTCTGGAAGAGCAGCAGTGCTCTTAACCTCTGAGCTATCATTCCAGCCCTTTTTCTTTTTCCTTTCCTCTCCTTTGCTTTCCTTTCCTTTTTCCTTTCCTTTTTCCCCTTCCCTTCTTCCCTTTCCCTTCTTCCCCTTCCCTTTCCCCTTCCCTTTCCCCTTCCCTTCTTCCCCTTCCCTTTCCCCTTCCCTTCCCCCTTCCCTTTCCCCTTCCCTTTCCCCTTCCCCTTCCC